GATTGAAACGTTGCCAAAAAGACAACTGGAAGGAGCTGCGAAGCCAAAAACTTCCTCGACCTGCCCTGTTGCTTAGGAGTTAAGGACTATAGGGGGCCCGAAGTCTAAGCCTGATAAGGACCTACTGCCAGTCTGTTGTGGGGTTTAGTATTTATTTGTTGTTAGGATGACCCTTTAAACCCTCTGAAAAATACTAAATGAGTATGATCCGCTTAAACCCATTAAAGGGAAACGTAAAATGTCCCAAGGGCCTACCGAGCGTTCAAGCGGATTAGAGAACACGAGGTCCTCAGCACATTCAGCTCCACCGCATCACTGAGCAGGTTGCCACCAGCATTGGCCTGCCACAACTCGAAACCCTGAACAGCCTCTCTTAAACCTAGCCCCTCAAATCCCTCAATGACTCAGCCCTGGACCCTTCACCCTGCAACACTAAGGCCCTAAAGGCCTATAGGCTCTAGACCCACAATCCCAAACCGCAGGCGTGCGTTGAACACCAGTCGAGCTTAGGCTACTGCTTCCTCGAGTGGTGCTTTTTCTGGGTGTCGAGACTTCGAGGTGTAGGAGCCTCCACCCCGTCAACAATGGAGGCAGGGCATTTCGCGTCCTGCCAGGAGAGTGGAGAATATTGTGTATGTCCTTACTCTATTCATTAGCAGTGTTTACGAATGAATCAGTTCAGCGATTTCTAGCACATCCAGCTAATAAATACCTGTACCTGTACTCGATTTTTGTATGTAATATTTTTGTATCAGTATCATCGAAAGCTTTTAAGTTCATCTAATGGTAGCAACGGAGGGCTTGGCTTCGGTTTTAGTGCTTCTGTGTTTGGGCCATGCTACGCCTGCAGCCCTGAAGCCCACAGCCCCAAGAAGAAAGACGGTTTAGGGTTTAGGGTTTAGGGTTTAGGGTTTAGGGTTTAGGGTTTAGGGTTTAGGGTTTAGGGTTTAGGGTTTAGGGTTTAGGGTTTAGGGCCAGTTTAGGGCTTAGGGTTTAGGGTTTAGGGTTTTGGAGTTTTTGGGGGGCAAACTTGCCCATGTAGACTTTGAGATGGCTCGCCAACCTCCAGCTACAACAGTCCCCCCCCCCCCCCAACTTTGGGCCTTTTCTAGTTATTGAGGGTAACCATTTGAAGGAAAGGTTCGGGTGAGCCTATAGGGTTTAGGGTTTAGGGTTTAGGGTTTAGGGTTTGGGGCTTAGGGGTTAGGATTTAGGGCCCTGAAAAACTTGCCCACGGTCCTTCAAGGCACTCTCGATGAGGTCCTGTATTGCAGCGCCTGATTTCGGGTCTCGCACGACGGCTGCCTTCCCCTAAGCCCGAAATCTTAGAAGCTACACCTTCAACGGAATGTTAGCGATCCACCAGATCATTCTCAGGCCCAAAAGCATGAGATCCCAAAGGCCCTTCAGCTGGGAAAGCAAAACCCGTCAAATGTCAGGCTTAGGGCGATGCTTCTTACGTTGCATTTATAAGGGGACATCTAAATCCTAAACTCCATGCGCGCCCTCATGGAGTTCATGGCAAACATGATTGGGCCCTGAACTCCCCTGCGACAGGAATCTCACGGAGCTGTTGCGAGAGAACTTTAGGAAAGATTGCGTCGCCCCAAACCCCAAGATCGCAATCCCTAAGCCCCACAACCCCCATCCCTGAAACCTTCACCCTAAACCCTAAGCCCCGCCTGAAACCCGAATCCCTCTTAAGGACCATGTAACCCTAAACCCTAAACCCTAAACCCGAAACCCTAAAACCCTAAACCCTTGAGGACCATGTCTCTCTGCTTCCCAGGGCGCCACTGGGCGCCAGGAGGCTGGAGCTCTGCCCCCTGGAGTTCAGCGCCGTGCCCGAGAGGAGGAGCCTGCGTCCAGGCGTTTCGGGCGTTTTGGGTTTCGGGGTTGGGGTTTAGGGTTTAGGGTTTAGGGTTTCGGGTTTCGGGTTTCGGGTTTCGGGTTTAGGGTTTAGGGTTTAGGGTTTAGGGTTTAGGGTTTAGGGTTGAAGGGTCTAGGATGTAACCGTCTGTAGGATGTAACTGTCTAGGGTTTAGTGTCCAAGTTTTTAGGATCTGCGGTTTTGGTTTAGGGCTGTTGACTCTAAGCCCTGAAGCCTTACCCTACACCCCGGTCGGGGAGGCGCGGCGCGCCGCACGACTATGGCAGCAATGAGAATATAAGTTGAGCCGTCTCCTAGCATGGGGTGATCATCGAATAGAAACTAGGAATCTTGGATGTTTGCAAGGGTTCAGCAACCCTTGAACTAACCGGGCTCTGGATTTAGGGGCTTTGGGTTTAGCGCATGGAGCTTGGGAAACCTGATGAGCTGGATTGAGACTGGGGGCGTCCGGGTCGCAGCATGTGATCCCCAGACTCCTGCACTTATTAATCTAGGGCTTCCTGAAACCCTAAACCCTAAACCCTAAAACACAGAAGCGCCTGTGCTTCTGCGAGTCGTCTTCAACCTCCGTCTCCCACTCCTTCCAAAAGAGGGATCTCGGGTTGAGAGTTTGGGGCTTAGGGTGTTGGATCTAAGGCTGACAGTTGGGGTTTTGGGCTCTCAGTTGATACTGAGAACTGAAATTCTGCGTGTTTGTTTGCGTTCGCCTCCGGTCCCTCAACCCCTATACCTGCCAAAGCCTATACCGCTAACCCCTTAACCCCCAAACCCAAACACCCAAACACCTAAGCCCTCAACCCTAAACCCTGAGCCCTCAGCCGTTAACCTTTGAAACCCCCAAATCCCCAAGCCCCAAACCCTAAACCCCAAAAGCCCCAAAAAGCCCTACATCAGCAAACCCCAAAACCCTCAATCCCAAAGACCTATACTTCGGCCTACTTCCCTACTTGGAGGTTCATGGTAACTTATAACCCCAATTATAAGTCTACTTATAACCTACTTAGGGGACTTAGGGGGCTTATAAGTACAGTTCTAATTTGGGTTATAAGTACCCTGAACCTCCAAGTACGACGTGTTGAAGCCACCCCCTCGGGCCTCTGCTGCTGGCCTGAACTCGTCCACCTTTCATGGGGCTTAAGGGAGCCACTCAAGGTTTGGGAGTTTGCGGGTTTCGGGTTTAGGGGGGTTTGGGGGTGGGGGTGGCGGTTTCGGGGTTTCGGGATTCAGGGAGGCAGGGCTTATGGAGAGGGGGGAGGTGGAGGATGCACGTGTCTAGGACTTTGGTTAAAAGTTTCGAGCTCAAGGTCTTCTTGTAGTTTTGAACTCTGATCGCCCACCCCCTGAGCGAGTTGCAGCTCATCAAGTTAAGAGCAAGCCGCAGCCCCGGTATCAAGAAAGGGTTTAGGGTTTAGGGTTTAGGGTTTAGGGTTTAGGGTTTAGGGTTTAGGGTTTAGGGTTTAGGGTTTAGGGTTTAGGGTTTAGGGTTTAGGGTTTAGGGTTTAGGGTTTAGGGTTTATGGTGTAGGGTTTAGGGTTTAGGGTTTAGGGTTTAGGGTTTAGGGTTTAGGGTTTAGGGTTTAGGGTTTAGGGTTTAGGGTTTAGGGTTTAGGGTTTAGGGTTTAGGGTTTAGGGTTTAGGGTTTAGGGTTTAGGGTTTAGGTGTTTAGGGGTTTAGGGGTTTAGGGTTTAGGGTTTAGGGTTTAGGGTTTAGGGTTTAGGGTTTAGGGTTTAGGGTTTAGGGTTAAAAAAAAGGGGGTTTAGGGTTGAGTTGAGGTTGAAGGTGTGAGGGGTTGGGTTTAGGTAGTTGAGGTGAGGGTTTAGGGTTTAGGGTGTAGGGTTTAGGGTGTTTAGGTTTAGGGTGTCGGGGAGGTTTAGTGTTGTTTAGGTTTAGGGTTTAGGGTTTAGGGTTTAGGGTTTAGGGTTTAGGGTTTAGGGTTTAGGGTTTAGGGTTTAGGGTTTAGGGTTTAGGGTTTAGGGTTTAGGGTTTAGGGTTTAGCTACGCTGCCGCACTGCGAAGCCCTGCGTAGACAATGCTGCTCGTTGTATGGCAGAAGGGCTCATCAACTGGACCGAACACACCCGCAACCCTGCGCCATGCCTCCGCGGCTGGGGTGCGGCGCCGGCCATGGGCCTCCATGAGCACGGAGACGACGCCTGGAGGAAGAAACTCCAACCTACAGGGTTTAGGGTTTAGGGTTTGGGGTTTAGGGTTTAGGGTTTAGGGTTTAGGGTTTAGGGTTTAGGGTTTAGGGTTTGGGGTCATTGTGGATTTTGGGTGTAGGGTTTGGGGCTTAGGCTCATTTAGGGTTAGGCTTACAACTTAGGGTCATTTAGGCGTCCCTCAAACCAAAGGCCAAAGCTCTAAGCCTTGCTGGGGCCTGTTTGGGGAGCTCGCCATGTGTAGGACTTCCAGCTGTTGAGGGCAGGGAGGGCTTCAGGTTCAGAGGGGCTCTGCGGGACTCTAGGAGGTTTCGAACTAGGAATTCGGGCTTTAGGATACGGCATAAAGTTCAGACTTGAGGTGGTGTAGCTTTCAGAGCTTCGGGCTTAGGTTTATCATATCCTTTTGCGGGGCCCCGTAAACCCTTACACCTAAACAACGTGTCTGACTCATCTCGAGGCCGGTTATTGGTTGGCTGCACTTCCGAACAAAAGATGAGACTGAGTGGACGCTCATCCTCCATCCGAAGAGTGCTGGCTGCCGGGGCATTTGTATGCATACACGCAGTCCTTTCTTTTCAAGCTGTAGAGCTGCAAACTTCAGCCCAAATGCGAATGATCACACAGAACGACGCAACAGAAAGATGCTATAGTCACCGAGACACGCAGAAAACCTGGGACATGTGCGCAGCCGCAGCAGCCACAGCCACCCTGCCACCTGCACTCTGAGCCCCGGCCGTGCTCCCCAAGGGCACTGTGCCGAGCCCGGTGCAAGACAGCATGGAGGGCGGCTGCTGCAACCCAGAGGAAAAGAAAACGGACCAATGAAAAAGAGAGAGAGAGAGAGAGAAAGTGAGAAGCAAGACCGTCTGAGTTCGGAGAGGCAATCTCGAGACTGGACCTGCAAGCAAGCTGAGGCCTCAGAACTCCACCAAAAATCGGGTCTCTTCATCAGGCTTTGCGCCGTGCAAGCTCTGCGCTCAACTTTGCCTCGAGGCCCGTCTCGCCGAGCTGGGCAGCAGCCCACAAAGACATCCGCAAGCCGGGGATGGCCATGTCGGCGATCTTCTTGGAGACCTGGGCGGTGATGACTGGCAGCGGGGTCAAAACATCTGGCACGCTGTCTTGAAGCTTTGCGACTGCCCACAGGCTGTTCGACAAGTGCTGAGGAATCATGCTCTCCACCTTCCGCGGTATGCGCTCGGCCAGGGCCGGCACGGCTATCAAGACGTCGGGCACTGACTCTTACAGGTTTGCGGCTGCCCACAGGCTGTTGGACACCTCTTGTGGATTCATGCTCTCCGCAACCTGTGGTATACGCTCCACAACGGCGGGAACAGCCATCAGGACATCGGGCGCTGAATCTTGCAGCTTCGCTGCCGCCCACAGGATGTTCGACAAGGCTTGCGGAATCATGCTCTCCACCATTTGTGTTATGTGCTCCACAATGGCGGGCACAGCCATCAGGACATCTGGCGCTGCATCTTGCAGCTTCGCTGCCGCCCACAGGCTGTTCGACAAGGCTTGCGGATTCATGATCTCCACCTTCCTCGGTATCGTCTCCGCCAGGGCGGGCACAGTCATCAAGACATCTGGCGCTGCGTCTTGCAGCTTCGCTGCCGCCCACAGACTGTTTGAAAGCTCCTGAGGTTTCAGGCTCTCCACCTTCTGCGGCATTCGTTCCGCGACAGCGGGCACAGCCGTCAGGACATCGGGCGCTGCCTCTTGCAGCTTCGCTGCCGCCCACAGGCTGTTGGACAAGGCTTGAGGAACAAACTCAGAAGCCTGGCGCGGGATGTTTTCTACAATCGCTGAGACAGCTTTCAGGACCTTGGGCTCTGCGTCATGCAAACTTGCAACCGCCCAGATGCAATTCGACAAGTCAAAAGCGTTCATGCTCCTTGCATTGTCCTGCACATGACGAACAAGAGCCGGTACTGCGCTGGCCATGTGCATGCCGATGTCCTGATGAATCTCAACAAGAGCCCAGAGTACATTTGATGCTACACGCGGTGATATCAAGTCTGTCACCAACATCGTCTGCAGTCTGGCGGTGAGCCTGGGCCACAGCGGGCTTCTGGCATCAACTGCCGGCAGCCTGCGACTTCTCTTGAAGAAGGCCAAGCGAGTGAAGGTGGCCGACATGTGGAAGTCATTGAAGACTGCACCGTCCACCTCCTTCTCCAAGAGCGAAAGTAACTCCGCTGAGGAGGTCGAGTTTTTAATTTTTGAGGTCAGAACCATGGGGTATGGAGCTCCACGGCTCGCGGGGTCGCGAGATCCTTTGCGCCTTTCCCTCACCCTGCGAGAAACGGCGTGTCTTGTACCTTCACGACAGGAATGGCCCAGCATGTGTCGCTGGATGCTAACAGGCCACCCAGTGAACCCTGCAAGGTCGAACTCCGACGTGCTTCCCAAACGACGGAGCCAGAACACCAAAGCCAGCAGCACCAGCACAGGGACTGCGCCAGCGCCCCGTGTGCGCAACATCGCTTTTGAAGGGCGCCAGAGTCTGCTCTACAACAACGTGAGTGCTTTCTGAGCAAGCGCACTGGCAGACGGAAGAAAGCCGGACTTTCGGCTTCGCCAACTTGCCATGGTTCGAAGGGGAGCACCAATCAAGAAGCCTTGACATTGAATCATCCCTTCTTGCAGGTTTTACCGTCTCCAACCAGAAAAAATTCCCTTATGTAACCCTGCCCTGCAAAGGACTTACTGTACAGGGAACCTGACTCCCTAAATCCCTACCAAGACGAACCCTAAACCCCAAACCCTGAACCCTCAACCCTAAACCCCAAGCCCTAAACCCTAAACCCTAAACCCCAAACCCTAAACCCTAAACCCTAAACCCCAAACCCTACATCCGCTGTCACAAGAGTGTTTCCGAACCTTCACTCCGCACGATGCCATCCGAGGACTCATCGAACGCCTTGGGGCCAACAGGGGTTTAGGGTTTAGGGTTTAGGGTTTAGGGTTTAGGGTTTAGGGTTTAGGGTTTAGGGTTTAGGGTTTAAGGTTCCGGGTTCCGGGTTCCGGGCTTAGGCTGCGTACTTGGATGTTCATGGTACTTATTCACCAATGACCCACTTATGGGCCCCTTAAGTGCCCTAATATGGTTGTAGGTACAGCCAGAAGTACAGTTTAATTGGTTAATAAGTACCATGAACCTCCAAGTAGGGCTAGGTCCAGGATTTAGGGCTGGGGTTTTGACCCCAGTCGCCCAAGATTTTGGGGCTCTGATAAGACTTAGGATCGCCAGCCCTCAAGGTACTTTGAGGAGTCATACGGTGCCATACCATGCCGGTTTATTCGTATTTAGGGTTACAGGCAGCTCCTCAGCAGCCCCAGCACGAGGCAGTTGTCAGCCCGTAGCCCAAACATCTGATACTTCGTCCCGAGTTGTTTTGGACAGGCTCCATCTGAGGGCGCAGCACGGCCGCGACCGCTGGCAGAGAGGCTGCCAGTGGCCTCGGCATTTGCGGCTGTCAGTTGTAGATACATTTTTGGTTGCCTTTTTCATATAAAATACGAACCAGGAACTACGAACCCAAAAGAACCAACTACATTTTGCAAGACTCAGCGCGGTATGGAATTCCGATCCCGAGGGTTTAAAGGCATGACGGCCTGGGCTATTGTCCTGAAGCTACTCTCTTAACCACTCAACCCGGAACCCCAACTCCTAATCCACCATAAGGCTCCTTGGCTCACAACACCCACAGTAAACCACTCTAAGCCATGAACCCCACCTCCCCCTGAGGTGCGAACGCAGCAAAGGATCAGCGACACGGGCAGCTGAATCTGCAGATCAGAGGAGTTGCTCTTCAGTAGGGCTTAGGCGGGTTCAGGGCTTATGGTCCCTGAGTTTGGGGTTGAGGGTTTGGGGTTCAGGGTTCGGTTCAGAGACTTTTCAGAACAAAGCCCTTGAGAAGAGAGTATTTCAAGCCCCAAGCTTTCGAACCACCTCGGAGGTTCCCCCGACTGTCATGACCGAGGCGCCCAGTTCACGCCGGAGACTAAAGCACGCGTGCAGCGGTCCTTCAAGGATCTCAAGGCAGAGCTTCCCTGGGACTCTGCTTACCTACAGTTTTCTGGGATCTTAGCAATGCGGAGCAAATACTACTCAAGTGCAAGTAAACCGGGTGTCAAGGCCCAAGGCCAAAGGAATACATGGCTAAACCAAAAGTTAGCCAGTTAGCCAGAAACACATGAAAGCGTGTGTGGTACAAGGGCTATGGCCTGGGGCACAAGCTAGTGAGATAAACGCTTGGCCGCTGAGAGAGAGAGAGAGAGATATGACAAACAGGGAGATAGTGTCCCAGCGAGAGCGAGAGCGAGAGCGAGAGCGAGAGCGAGAGCGAGAGCGAGAGTGAGAGCGAGAGCGCGAGAGAGAGAGAGAGAGCGAGAGAGCGAGAGAGAGAGAGAGAGGGAGGTTGGGGGGACGCGGAAGAAAGCGCGAGAAAGTCTTAGAGAAGATGATTCGAGTCCTCTCTCAAGTAGGCCATGGCGGTGTCGATGGCCACTGCCCCGGACGACTCCTCCGTGTCCACCGCGATGCTCGGCCTGTCGTGGGGTCTGGGGTACAAGGGCTTGCGGCTGTAGGGTTCTGGGCCATGACGCTGCTATTTGCCTGTGGCTGAGTCTCTTTTTGGCCCGTGGAAGCAAGGGTTCACATGTTGAGGGAACCTGCCCCCCGAAAGGGCCGGAACTTCTACTGTCACCGTCGCCGCCCAGAAGATGACGATCTAGACCCTTCACCGTTCTCTTCTTCTGGGTTTGTACCTACTTCTAGTCTTCTAGTATACCTCAAAAAAGAGCTACAATGACGGACGGGTCTTGGTAGACATCCCTGACCCATTGTAAGGGGCATGAGGAAGAAGACCCCGGTTGCTGAACGCCTTTGCATGCACAGGCCTGCATCCCAATCCGTTGGCCCCTTCAACCCAGACCACAAAACAAATGCCCATACCTTGAATCTGCCGGCAGCACCCCTTGCTACCGTAGAACCAGGCGGTGCGGTTGACGGTTCCAGCGTTGCTCCTTGGTTGTGTGGGGCTTTAGGTTCAAGGTGTAGCATGAAGAGACCTGGGATTGGGTCTAAGGTTCAGGGCTTAGGGGGCTTAGGCGGGCTGAGGAGGCTTTAGAAGGGTGACTTGTCGGTCTTGAAGAATTTTTGAGGCTTTAGGGGCGTTTCGAGCTTAGGGCTTCAGAGTTCTGCTTCGTCTCACATTGCTTTCGGGGATGATGTAAACGGTCAGCCGCGGATTCGGAAACTAGAAACGCGCGGATTCGGAAACTGGAAAACCCTGATTCTGGAAACTACAAAACGCGGATTCGGAAACTGAAAACGCGGATTCGGGAAACCAGGATTCGAGAAACCAGCTGATTCAGGAAACTGGAAAACGCGGATTCGGAAACCAGCTGATTCAGGAAACTGGAAAACGCGGATTCGGAAACCAGCTGATTCAGGAAACTGGAAAACGCGGATTCGGAAACCAGCTGATTCAGGAAACTGGAAAACGCGGATTCGGAAACTGGAAACCGCTGATTCCGGAAACTGGAAAACGCGGATTCGGAAACCAGCTGATTCAGGAAACTGGAAAACGCGGATTCGGAAACCAGCTGATTCAGGAAACTGGAAAACGCGGATTCGGAAACCAGCTGATTCAGGAAACTGGAAAACGCGGATTCGGAAACCGCGGATTGGAGGAACCGGATTCGTGTGGATTCCAATTACCGGATCGGGCGAGCCCAAAGCAACCGTGCCCTGGATGACAGCGCATCCTCCCCCCCCCCGACTTTTCAACAGGCTGGAGCGCAATGCTTTGTCCTGGACGCTATCATCCCCCCCCCCAACCCCCCTCCCCCGCGACACCCAGTTTCAACAGGCTGGAGCCCAAAGCTGTTGCTTGAATGGCTGCTGGAGCCCAATGCTGCTTGAATGGTTAGTGTCACAAAGCAGCCTTGTCCTGGACGCTATCATCCCCCCCCCCAACCCCCCTTTCAACAGGCTGGAGCCCAATGCTGTTGCTTGAAGGGCTGCTGCTGAATGCACAATGCTTTGCTGGAGCCCAATGCTGTTGCTTGAAGGGCTGCTGGAGCCCAATGCTGTTGCTTGAATGGTTAGTGTCACAAAGCAGCCTTGTCCTGGACGCTATCATCCCCCCCCCCCGAGACCCAGTTTCAACAGGCTGGAGCCCAATGCTGTTGCTTGAATGGCTGCTGGAGCCCAATGCTGTTGCTTGAATGGTTAGTGTCACAAAGCAGCCTTGTCCTGGACGCTATCATCCCCCCCCCCCCTTTCACAGGCTGGAGCCCAATGCTGTTGCCTGCTGGAGACCCTGGAATGGTTAGTGTCACACAGGTCCTGGACGCCCCCCCAATTTCAACAGCTGGAGCCCAATGCTGTTGCTTGAATGGCTGCTGGAGCCCAATGCTGTTGCTTGAATGGCTGCTGGAGCCCAATGCGCTTGAATGGCTAGTGTCACAAAGCAGCCTTGTCCTGGACGCTATCATCCCCCTTTTCCGAGACCCAGTTTCAACAGGCTGGAGCCCAATGCTGTTGCTTGAATGGCTGCTGGAGCCCAATGCGCTTGAACGGTTAGTGTCACAAAGCAGCCCCCCACATTTCAACAGGCCCGAATCGCGCGGTTTCTTGAATCGCATGGTTTCCTGAATCGCATGGTTTCCTGAATCGCGCAATTTCCTGAATCGTGCAGTTTCCTGAATCGCGCAGTTTCCTGAATCGAGCAGTTTCCTGAATCGCGTGGTTTCCTGAATCCGCTGGTTTCCTGAATCGCGCAGTTTCCTGAATCGCGTGCTGTCAGTTTCCTGAATCGCGCGGTTTCCTGAATCGCGTGTTTTCAGTTTCCTGAATCTTGTGGTTTCCTGAACCGCGGTTTCCTGAATCGCGGGAAAACAGTTTCCTGAATCGCGCAGTTTCCTGAATCGCGTGGTTTCCTGAATCCTGGTTTCCTGAATCGCGCAGTTTCCTGAATCCTGGTTTCCTGAACCCTGGTTTCCTGAATCGCGTCCAGTTTCTGAATCGCGCATGGTTCGATGTAAACAGCCTTTGCTATACTTCTGAATGCCAGGCTTCATCAGCGACGTCGCAATCTTGCTCGTCTTCAAAGACCCACTCATCCATTCGAAATACCTCCCGCAACTTTGGCAGAGTTTAGGGTTTGACAGGGCCCATCGACTGGGCGTGTTGTCTACGTAGTCAAACACCACGCTAGGCTTTGGGGCGAGAAAGTCTCAGCTCGCTCAGGGTTTGGGGCTTCAAGATCTAGGTTTCCAGAAGGGGGGGATATCTTGAGCAAAGCGTGGTTGACACCCCCACCAAGAGGCCTGTCGTTCCCGGACAGGCCGCAGAAGAAGCCTCAGAAGTAGCCGGAAGCTGCCCTAAATTACTGATAACTGTGCTCGGGCTGTTCTTTTGGTGTAGCGTGTTGGTGACCTATACGGAATCCGATTACAGAAGGTACCTCTGA